TCCAAACGCCTGAGCTGTCCCCTCAGGCCTCCTCCCAGGACGTGAGCTTGGAAGAACGGAGGCAAACGCAGCTTGAGTCCGCCCGGAAGATGGTAAGGGACAGGGGTATGGGGGCCCCCCGGGCCAGCGCGTGGTCCCTCGGCCCCTTCCAGCCTGTCCCGCCCCCCGGCCTGACGCCGGCGCTCCCGCCTGCGCCTGGACCCTTCATCTGCCTGGGCTGCCCGGCTCCAGGTCGCCCAGACCTCGGGGGCAGCAAGTGCTGGGAGGGGGAGGAGTCAGGGTCCCCCTCGGACCTGCCCTCCCCTCGCATCCCCGAGCCCGTCCGAGACCCCAGGGACCAAGGCGGCAAGCCCCGAGCGTGTCGCCCCGCTTCCAGCCTCTGGGTTCCCCGACTTCCAGTTCGGAAGGGACGAGGGACCGTGGACTCAGGTGGAGGCCGTGGCCTTTCCTTGGACTTGAGAGTGCCCGCAGCCTTGGCCACGACTCCAAGTGACTTTTGTTTTGGGGCCCCACCCAGCAGTGCTCAGGGATCACTGGTGGGGGGGCTCCTGAGATCCTTTGGGTCGGTGCCCCAAATCTAGTAGGGGTCAGCTAGACCTCCTTTGTGTGTGTGGTTTTTAGATCACCCGAGTCGGTGCTCAGGGCTTACTCCTGAGTGCTCAGGGATGACTCCTAGTGGGGCTAGATGGGAGGACCATTTGGGGTGCCCAGGATCAAACCTGGGTGAGCTGCATGCAAGGCCTTACCTGCTATACTATCTAGCACCCCCGCCCCATCTGCCCAACCTCCATGACCCCCATAACACTGTCTCCAGCCCTGGGTGACAGTTTGTTTTTCTCCCAGGTTTCATGGTCTCCAGGCACTTTTCCACGTCCACCTAAGTTTTCTCCCTCTAATTCATATCCTGTGGGCCCAGTGTGGGCTCTCTGGAGTGAGTGTGTGAGACAGGACCCCAGAGAGTGAGCTTCAGAGGAGGCTCTGTCCCCAAAGTAACACCCCCCCAACCCTCCCGTCCCCAACACATGAACTGCTGGAACGGAGTAAAGTGGGGTCTTAATGATGTTGGTGGGCACCACTGGTGTCTTACGTGAAGCAGGGAGGAGAAAGACAGTCGCTTTCTCACCATCTGCCTCTGCCACCCGGGACCCAGGGTTACTGGGTCCTCGGCTCACCTCGCAGAAAAGAATTTCAGGAGTAGACAAGCACTAAAGTAAAATAGATTTTATTTGGAGGTTTTGAAGGAAAGGAGGAAGAGAAAATGGAGAGGGTGGGGAGTAACATGCTCAAGAGAGAACCTGGGCTTCTCCAAGGGCGGAGAGACCCCTACACACATCCCAGCATAAGACACGAAAGCATGAAAGTCCACATCTCAAGAGGGGAGATGCGGGCAACACATGTGCTCAGGCATCACACATGCTTGGCCACGTGGGCGCAAGCAGCACATGGGCTCGGGCAGCATATCTCACCCTTCCTTTGTTCATGTGGCCTTTATAGGGGTTCTCCAACCTGCCCCAGGTGGGGCTTCTACCTAGGTAAAAGTTCGTTGCTAAGGAGGTTACCTAGGGAAGTTGGGAGTGGTGATGGTTTTCTATGAAACTCCTTTCCTGGGGGCTGGAGTGATAGCACAGTGGGTAGGGTGTTTACCTTGCACGCGGCCACCCAGGTTTGATTCCCAGCATCCCATATGGTCCCCCGAGCACTGCCAGGAATGATTCCTGAGTGCAGAGCCGCCAGTAGTAACCCCTGAGCATCACCAGATGTGATCCAAAAAAGCACTGCACTGTCCTCCGGTTGTTCATTGATTTGCTCGAGCAGGCCCAGTAACGTCTCCATTGTGAGACTCGTTGTTACTGTGTTTGGCAGATAGAATATGTCATGGGTAGCTTGCCAGGCTTTTGCTGTGCGGGCACGATACTCTCGGTAGCTTGCCAGGCTCTCTGAGAGGGGTGAGAAATCGCGGAGGAATCGAACCTGGCTCGGCCGACCGGCTGCATGCAAGGCAAACGCCCTACCGCTGTACTATCACTCCATCCAAAAAGAAAAAAAAATTCCTTTCCTGGCCTTTTGTGTCTGCAGAAGCTTCTCTGAATAAGTTTCTGTAGATAAGTGAGGGTCTTATCAGGCCTTAGTTTCTACTTTTTCATGTTTTCTGCAGGTTGGCTTTTGCCATTGCCTTGGAGGGGGCCTTCCCTATCCTGCCTACATCACTAAGACCTCCTTTTGCAGGCTTGCCCTGTGAGAAAGCTTTTTTTTTTTTTTTGGGTCACACCCAGCGATGCACAGGGGTTACTCCTGGCTCTGCACTCAGGAATTACTCCCGGCGGTGCTCAGGGGACCATATGGGATGCTGGGAATCGAACCCGGGTCGGCCACGTGCAAGGCAAATGCTCTACCCGCTGTGCTATCTCTCCAGCCCCCTGTGAGAAAGCTTTAGAGTGTAACAAAGCTTGGCGGGGTGAGGGTTGATGTCCTGGGCTGTCCTCTGCTGTGTTCAGGTTCCTGAGGGCATCTGGACACAGCTGTGTCCCACCAAGGTGGGACCCCCGCCCCATCTTCAGGACTTACAAGCTGTCTTCTCGGCTTTGACCACCTCTGGTGTGACCCCTGGTTTGAGGAAAACGCCCTTAATTTGGAGTTAGAAATGGAGTTAAGGTTAATAGTACAGTGGGTAGAGCTTTTGCCTTGCACACAGCCGACCCAGGTTCAATCTCCAGCATCCAGTAGGAGTAATTTCTGAGTACAGGCTCAGGAGTCACCTCTCAGCATCAATGGGTGTGACACAAAATACAAAAGAAACACAAAAAAGAGTTAAACTTCATCTCTGGGGCCTCCGCCTGCTGTTTTCAGCCCTTTCAACCCCTTGTAGAGTTGCGCCTCCCCTGGGGGCCAGTCAAGCCAAGTCTGCAATGACTTTGTCAGGCAGGTTGTGAAAGCAGAGGGAGAAAAACAAGTCGCTGTGCTTTTCTACAGCTCCTCGAATATGAGATCAAACATGACAGAGTTCCGGGGAAGAGAAGCAAGAAGAAGAAGTGCAGAGACGGCGACCAGGACGGCACAGCTGGCGAGGGCCACCAGTTGCCCAAGGGAGTGAGTCCTGCCCTGGGCGGCTGCCCAGGCCCTGGAGGAATGGGGTGCTGCAGGGGCGTGGCAGAGTGGTCAGGGTGGCGGGGGAGGGGTACACGGGCGGGAACCCCAGGTTCTGCTCAGGCCTTGGTGGGCGCACTGCCTCAGCGGGGGATGGGCAGGTTCCAACCAGGCCAGATCCCACCGCTGCTCTAGGGCTTACAAGCTGAGAATCCGAGATTGGACTCTCAAGCCTCAGCTCTGTTGCCTTTTCCTGGGAAGTTGGGCCTCGGAGACAGAGTCAGGAGCGCGTGGGCGGGAGTGTCCCTCGGCCACCAGCCTGAGGGGACCTCAGGGAAAGCGGGCTCCCGTGTTGGCCGGCACCTGCCAGGTCGGATCAGGTCTGGGCCTTTGGGAGTAAACGTCCGCTTGGCTCCCTCTGTTCAAGCAAACCCCTTCATTGGAAGTTCTGGTACCTAGCATGGAGCAGGGGTGGGGGTTGTGGCCCCGCTGGGGTCTTCCCCGTTCTCCTGGGCCTGGTGAGAGGGACTCAGTGCCCGCCCAGCAGAGCCTGGCCTCGGACCGGGGAGCCTGCAGTCACGGCCGCGTGTGTCCGGGCACTGGCCTCCGCGAAGGTCCCCTGGTGTTCCCCCTGCAGCATCTCATTGCCGGGACCCGGTGCCTGCCCGCGTCCCCCGCCCGGCTCCCTGGCCTCTCTCTGACTGCCCTCTTTCTCCTGGCTCTTGTCTGCCCCGCCCTTCTCGCCGCCTCTAGATTGAGGACATACTGGAGGTGCTGGTGTGCGACCTTAACCGCTCCAATGGGGTCGCGCTGTCCCCATTGGCCGAGTGGCAGGTGAGGCGGGCGCCCGCTGCCATGCTCTCTGCCAGCTCTGCATGTGCCCGGGCTGCTCCCCGCCCCCCCCCCCCGGGCTGTCCTCTCTGCTTCCTGCCTGCTGGGTCGATTGGGATTGGGGGGTGACTTTTCCCTCTCCCCGTCTCTTAACCTCTGGGAGCAGGAGCTGGAGGGAGAATGCCGTGGGCAGGGTGCCTGCATTGCATGTGGCCGACCTGGGTTCTATCCCCAGTACCACATGTGGGCCCCCGAGCCCACCAGGAACGATCCCGAGCACAGAGCCAGGAGTAAGCTCTGAGCACTAAGGTGTATGGCCCAAACACCAAAGCAGAACGTCTTGAGAAGATGCTGACCCTGAGGGTGTAGGCGCTGGGAATGACTCCAAGCAGCCTCAGATGTGCCCTCTTGGCAAAATAACAACCTTGTCAGGCCTCGGGGTATCGAGTTCCCAAGCCCTGTAGCCCCTCATCACCGGTTCTCACTTTACAGAATGCTGAATTTGAAGTCCGAGTGTTAGTGCAGTGGGTTAGACATTTGTCTTAACACACGCTAGCCAGGATTCGATACCCAGGCACCCCATGTGGATCCACAGAGCCAGGAGCAACCCCTGAGCACCACAGGGTTGGTCCTAGGCTGAAAAAAAAAAAGGCAACCTCTGAATTTGTTTTGTCTTGAGAATTTACGGGGAAGGGTGAGGCGGCTTGGTGTGCATGGCCTCTCAACTGCCACATTCCGTTCTCTTATCACTTCTCAGCTGCACCAGGTGCTGCTGCACCAGGTGTTGAGTCACCTAAGACTCAACAGCCCCTCCTGGGCTGCGGGTTGCCAACACAAAGACAGAACCTTAGGGTGCCGATTCTCAGTGGAAGGGCTCCCCTAAGGCTGCACTCACACTCAGGTCGGTCCAGGTTCCGGGACTTACCGTGGGCATTTGGGGGGAGCCCAGCGTCTGCGCCCATCCTCTGTCCCATCCCGCTCTGTCCCCCAGAGCTCCCTGTGGCTGATGAACCCTCCTCTGCCCAGCCCTACGTCCGTGCCAGTTTCTGTCCAGGGACAGGGACATGCCGGGAGAGCCATTGGGGATGACCCGAGAGATAAGACGTTTGCATGGAACAGGGGCCGTGCACAGAGGAACGGGGCTTCTCTCATCCACAGACATAGCTCAGCTGCTGCTGCTGCAGGTGACGGGCAGGCTCGGGGTTCGGAGACTCTTGGGGCCCGCCCTGGCCAGCCCAGACTCGCGCTGACCTCCTCTCTCCCTGCAGTTCACGAGCCCAACGGAAGGGCCGGGCAGCGACCCCCAGGCCGTGGAGGTGCTGGGCGAGAGGAAGCAGATGGAGAGAGAGATCAAGGAGGTGAGGTGGGAGGGGCAACGAGGGTGGGCGGGGCGCGGGGCGGGGGCTGACGGCCACTGTCCCGCAGCTCAAGAGACTATTGAAGCAGCTGCAGGTGGAGAGGGACCAGCACCTGGAGCAGATCAGGGCCCAGGACGAGTTCTGGCAGCAGCGCGTGCAGCAAGCCCTGCAGCAGGTGCGGGCGGGCGCCGGGCGGCTCGGGCCTGCGGGGCGGGGGGTTTTCCACACTGAGCTCACAAGAGACCCTGGCAGTGCTCAGGCCCTGCCCGTGGTGCCAGGGGTCGGTCTCGGGGGTTGGGTGCCCCCCAACCCCCATGCTATGGTCTCCGTGTCTGGGCAGAGCACGACGTTTAAGGACGAGAACGAGAAGAACGTCAGATACATTCAGGAGCTGGAGGCCAGCGTGGCTGACCTGAAGGCGCTGCTGGGTGAGTGCCAGGGGTGGGGGACGGAGTCAGGGTGTCGGGGTGTGGCTGTGTGGGGTGTGTTTCTGGCAGGGCTGGTGTCCTGTCCGAGATGTGGCCCTGCGGGAGGGGCATTGTGATATTGGAAAGGTGCAGAGCAGGAGCTGGTCGGTGTCCTCTCGGGGGGTGGCAGATAGCTCTGGGGTCCCAATGATTCGCCGCCCTTGACACCCTGTACCTGAATATTTGGACTGTAAAGATGCAGAGAATCCTCTGGCTGGGAATCAGAGCCCGAGTTCTCCGTGTCCCGCGGGCCATCCCCAACACTGCTGGGGGCTCTGATTAGGGACGGAGCTATTTGTCAGGGACTTGAACCTCAGGAGGTCGAGATGTTGCAGTCCACCCGGACAGAGGGAGCCCCATGTCGGGCTGGGGACCCAGAGGGTCGCGCCAGGCCCGGGCATGGACTGTCCCCCCCTTCCCCCGTTCCAGAGGCCCTGGCCCCCCAGGAGCCCCCACCGCCGCCGCCCGGGCCCTCGGAGCTGGAGGTGCAGCTGCAGGCGGAGGCCGAGAAGTGGAGGAAGGAGGTGGCGAGCCTCGCGGAGCAGCTGCAGACGCAGGTGCGCGACAACCAGAGCCTGAGCCAGCTGAACGCGGAGCAGGGCCAGCGGCTGCTGCAGCTGGAGCGGGAGGCCGAGGTGTGGAACGAGCAGGCCGAGGCGCGCGGCCGCATCCTGGAGACGATGGAGAACGACCGCACAACCATCACGCGCGCCCTGGCCCAGAACCGCGAGCTCAAGCAGCAGCTGGCCGAGCTGCAGGACGGCTTCGTGAAGCTGGTGCGCCCCCGCCTCCCCGGACCTTCGCGCCGGGCAGCGGGCTGTCCATGAGGCCGAGGGTCCGACGGCCGTGCAGGGGGAGGGCCAGGAGGGGCGGCGGGGGCCGGCGGGGGACGCTGACCGGCCCACGCCCTCAGAGCAACGAGAACATGGAGGTGACGTGTGCGCTGCAGTCGGAACAGCATGTCAAGGAGCAGCTGGCGGAGCGGCTGGGGCAGCTGCAGGAGAAGTTGGCGGAGATGAAGGAGACGGTAACGGGGCGGCGCGGGGCACCTCCGAGCGGGAGCAGGTGGGGGGCCGGCGGGGGCCGGGAGGCCCGGCCTGAGCAACAGGCCGCTCCCATCATGGCCACCGCAGCCCTGGGCCTCGGGGCCTGCAGCGTGTGTGGGTCCTGGGGGAGGCAGGCGGGGCAAGCCCGGGTCCCTGGCCAGGCTGCGCAGTGACCCCGCTGGGGCCGCCTGCCTGGCCAGGAGCCCCACCTGGACCCGGCCCGTCCTCATGCCCGGGGCCCACAGGTGCAGGCGAGGGCCAGCGAGGCACAGGCGCTGCAGCAGCAGAGGGACCAGTACCTGGGCCACCTGCAGCAGTACGCGGCCGCCTGGCAGCAGCTGGACGCCGAGAAGGAGCAGCTGCAGCAGCAGGCGCTGCTCTATGCCCAGCAGCTGGACCGGCTGCAGCACGAGCACGCGCAGGGCCAGGACGCGCTGGACGAGGCGCAGGTGAGCGCAGGCCGGGCCGGGCAGAGGCCTGCGGCCGCCCCCACTCACGCACCCTCCCCCCCTCACGCGCCCTCCCCCCCAGGGGCTCCTGAAGACCACCGAGGAGCAGAAGCAGCAGCTCCAGGCCCAGCTGAGTGCGCTGCTGGCGCCGGGCACGGGGATGGGTGAGTGCCAGGCCGGCGGGAGCAACCGCTGGGGTTCCCCCCCCCACCCCGGCTCCCTCGGGTGTCTGAGACCCTGGTCTGCCCCACAGCGAGTGACGGGGACGGGGACGAGGAGCAGGAGACGGCCCCGAGGACGCTGAGCCTGCCTGGGGACCTGGACGACAGGGAGGCCATGGTGAGCCCAGCCCTCGGCCCTCCCTCCCCTGCCGCTGACCCTCCCCTCCCTGGGAGACTCCCGTACCGCGAGGCGCCCTAAGGGGTGCTCTCCGGGCCCAGCCCTCGCCCCCTCTCCTCCGCAGCTGGAGTTCTGCAACTCGGCCTTGGCGCAGGCAGACTCGGAGCGGGCGGAGCTGCGCCGGCAGCTGGGGGCCGAGAGAGTCCGGAGCCGGGAACTGGCGCAAGCCCTGGCAGCCGCGCAGCCCGCAGCCCCCGCGCCCGGGGCCCAGACGGTCCCCCAGGAGACGCACGCAGCCCTGAAGGAGGCCATGGACCTGTTGCAAGTGAGCCGGTGGCCCCGCGGGGTGCGGGTGGGCGCCCTCCCCCTCCCCCGCCCAGCTGAGCCGCTGTCCCCTGCAGACTCGCTTCGCGCAGATCATGCAAGAGAAGGTGGAGCTGCGGGAGCGCGTGGAGGAGCTGGAGCACCGCTGCGTGCAGCTGTCCGGGGAGACGGAGACCATCGGTGAGTGGGCGGCGCGGGGCTGCCCGCGGGGGGCCCCCAGCCTCTGAGCCGTGCCCCCGTCTGCCTCGCAGGGGAGTACATCACCCTCTACCACAACCAGCGGGCCGTGCTGAAGGAGCGGCACCGCGAGAAGGAGGAGTACATCACCCGCCTGGCCCAGGACAAGGAGAACCTCAAGGTGGGCGCTGGCCGGCCTGGGCGGGGCGGGGCCGCGGGCGGGAGGGCCGACTCGCTGCTGCCCCCTGCAGGTGCAACTGCTGGAACTGCAGGAGCTCGTGTTGATGCTGGTGGATGACAGTTACTCCGGCCAAGGCGCCAAGGCCGCCTCCGTGGCCCTCGCTGGCTCCCTGGCCAGTGCCCCGACAGGTCAGGAGAGACTCGGGGGGTTGGCGCTGCTGGGCGAGGCGGGGCAGCCCTTCACTCAGCTCAGTGCCCGCCCTCCTCTGCCCCTCTCTCCCGCCCCGCAGAAGCCCCTCACGCTGGCAGCCCCGGGTCAGTGGAGCAGAGCCCAGAAGGGACCCCGGCTGGCCCCGCGCCCGTCAGCAACCCCACGGCCGTGAAGATCATCCAGCTGCTGAAGGAGATGCAGAACTGTAAAGACCAGCCCGGCCTGGGCGCGGCGCCCTGCTCGCCTTGTATTCCTTTCTTTTACAAGGCCGACGAAAACGACCAAGTGAAAATCACCATGATCTAGCCCCGTCCCTGTCCCCCGGCCCCCTCCCACCGCATCCTGTTCCTTCACTGAGGGGAAGGGGCAGGAACACTCCCGTGGGGGACCAGCGACAGACGAGCATGGCCTTTCGCTGTAGCTCGGGCACTGCCTGTACCAGTGAGCAGGGCCAGGGGCAACGCTGATGCGCCAACATCGAAGCATCCACGCCTGCATCATGGTGCCCGTGCCTGGGCTGTGGGCGTCATCGGAATGGCACCCCCTATTGTCTCAGCTGGGGAAGAAAGTTAAAATTTAGGGCTGGAGTCTTAGTAGAGGGGGAAAAGCACTTCCTGCATGCAGCCCACCGGGTTTGACCCCCTACATCCCATTCCCTGAGCCCTGCCAGGGATGATCCATCTCTTAGTGCAGTGCCTGGAGTAAGGCCTGAGCTCCGTCACATGTGACCCCAAATTCAAAAGACAAAAATTGAAAATAACGGATGGAAAACAGCGCTGTGGCAGACACAGCTCTGGACAGTGAGGCCACAGACGCTCCTGCACATGCCTGGCCTTACAGGGGCGTTCGAGGGTGTCCGTGTGTCCCCAGGACATGATCCTGGGGGCAGAATGTCCACACCGCTGTACCCAGACTGGGAGGAGAAATGTCTGTCTGCACTAGACATCAGGTCGGAGGTACAGAAGTGTCCCTAACAGCCTCTTGTGCCTACGTCCTCCCACTAGACTTAGGGAGCCCTTGGGGTCAAATACCCCCGTGTCAGGCCAGTGAAGAGTCTGGACAGGAGATGACCCCCCGCCAGCTAGGCTCAGGAAAGACTAGAGTGAGAAATCCCACCCCCCCCCCGTCCACCTATAATTGGCTCAAGGAAAGCAAAGGGACACGGGTGGGCTGCCCTATTTTTTATATAAATCATGTCCAGGAGGCCCGAGAGAGGCTCAGTGCAGTGGTCCGAGTCTTTCCTTGGACCGCATGGGCTCCTGAGCACAAAGCTGGGAGGAGCCCCTAGACCCCCAAAATCAAAAAAACAAGTATCTGACCAGGCAGAGGCTCAGTGAGTTGCTCAGAGGAGGCTGTGGAGGGGTCATTGCCTTAGACACCCTCCTTCAGGGGGTGTCAACCCCCAAAAAGACATTTTGGGAGCAAACATGCCCCCCCAAAGCCAGATCAAGATTGGGCCACACTCAGACATTAGGGTCTGGGGTCCCCAGGCCAAGGAAGGGGCGCACACTCTGGTCGGGAAGGCACCCCAGATCCAGGCTGGAACTGGCAGAGTGCCGGGTACACCCCTGATAGGGGTGGTGACTAATTTATTGGTGGCAGGGGACAGAGGAAGGAGGAGGGGAGGGGTCTGCTGTCCTCGAGATTCACTGTCCTGTTTGCACTGGGGTTGGAATAAATGGATGTGGGTCCATCCCTGGCATGTGTGTGTTACTGAGTAGGGCAGGGCTGACCGGTCAGTCTCGGAAATGAGATGGGCCCCAGGAGGGAGGGGGATCAGGTGGGCAGCCCTCCAGACGATGCCTTCTGGGCCAGGCACTGTCAGGGCGTCCCCTGGCCCCTCTGCTGTGTCCACCAGTCCCCAGCTTGTTCTGCCCCCTCCCCCCAGTGGCCAGGTCAGGATCTGCAGGATGAGACCATGGAAGCTGCAGGATTTGCCAAGCTTGCCTCGGACTGACAGGGCAGGACTGTCCCCCCAGGTCTGAGTCCCAGTGTTGAACCCTTCTCTGCCCACGGGTGCCCCAGACAACACAAACCCGCAGACACATTTTTTTTCCTGTTGCTCAGAAATGGGTTTTGTTCTCAGCCACGAGATAGCAAGATGGAGCCAGGTCAGAGACCTGGTCAGCTGCCCGCACAGCAGAGGGGGCTGCTGTCCCCAGGGCCGGGGAGCGTGGGGGATGCCGGGACTCTGACTGTGCTGGTCTCCAGGAGCTCGGGCTGTACCTGCCCCGCCGTTCCTAATCGTTGTACAGTATGACGATAGTCAGCATCTGAGTCCCACTTGGGCCTTCGTTGTCCTTCTGACCCTGTCCGTTCCCGTCTCAGTGGCCTGTTGGGGTGTGCCTTCCCCTCTGATTCTGCTGTTCTCTGGGGCTCCTGACCTGCCTGTCCACGGCCATTCTGCACCCCTGCTCCGCGTTTCCTCGAGGCTTCATACGCAATGTTGGCAGGCCTTACAGCCCCTGAGCAGCTGGTCCTGATGAACCGGGACATGCAACTTAACCCCCTGAGACGCTCAGTGATGAGTTTCTGGGCTCCATGTACGCACGGCCACGTGGTGAGACAGCAGGACTGCCCGAGGCCCCAGGATCGGGTCCCGCATGGGGCCCATGACAAAAGCTGGCTCCATGGTGGGCCTGGACAACCTCCTGCTACTTGCGCCATCTCTGATCCAGTTCTGCAGCGGTCGCTGGCCTCCCTCACTATGTCTGACTGAGGTCTGTCACCACATCTTCACCTAAGACAGGGCTCCCTGCTGTGTTGTCGCGTGTCAGGGTGCCGGGTGTTGAATAACAGCCACCGCCAGCTAATCACTGTGGGTCTGTCCAGTGTCCACGGCATCGCTGGCCTTTGCCTGGGCAGCCGGCTGGCTGGTCAGAGAGACTGTGCTCGTTTCCATCACACCCACCCCCAGACTGGCCCCACTGACCCTCAGGACAGCCAGCAGATGACTTGCACCCTGAAGTGGGTGCCCAGGTCAGTCCAGGCTGCTGGGGAAATGACAGCTCCAGGAACATCATGGTCCCTCCGGCTCCACGGTCTTTGCTGTGTCCCCACAGTGTTTCCGAAAGTGTCTACTTGGGTATTAGCTATTCAGCAGGTCTTGCCGCACTGAGAATGTTGAGCTGAATTGCACCCACCCCCCCTCACTGGTTCATCTCACCCCAGTAACCCAGGTGGTCCCCAAGCTTGCCAGGAGTGATCCGGGAGCAAGCCCTGAGCACAGCTGGGCATGGCTCAAAAACTATTACAAATTCGGGCTGGAGAGATAGAACAGTAGGGAGGGCGTTTGCCTTGCACGCGGCCGACCCGGGTTCGATTCCCAGCATCCCATATGGTCCCCTGAGCACCGCCAGGAGTAACTCCTGAGTGCAGAGCCAGAAGTAAGCCCTGTGCATCGCCGGGTGTGACCCAAAAAGCAAAAACAAAAAACAAAAAACAACTATTACAAATTAAAAAATAAAAACCCTCAGGGCCAGAATGATCTTACAGTGGGGAGGGCGTTTTCCTCGCACATGGCCGACCCGGGGTTCGATCCCCAGCATCCCATAGGGTCCCCAAAGCACTGCCAGGAGCGATTCCTGAGTGCAGAGCCAGGAGTAAGCCCTGAGCATCGCCGGGTGTGACCCAAAAATAAAAAAAATAAACCTGAGTTATCACAGGCCAGAGAGAGAGTACAGTGGGCAGGACATTTGCCTTGTATGTGACCAATCTTCGTCAAGACCCTGAATGAACAGTTTGAGGCTCTTCGTGTTCCTAGAATGAGCAGATGCCTTTGGGCTACACTAGCACATGACAGGGACGAATGGAGACATTACTGGTGCCCACTCGAGCAAATCAATGAGTAACCAGATGTCAAGCAATCAAGTAGCCAACCTGGATTCCATCCCCAGCACCCCAGATGGCCCCCAAGTTTGCCAGGAGCACATTCCATGAGTAAGCCCTGAGCACAGCTGGGTGTGGTTCAAAAATTATTTTTAAAAAAGTCTTGCATTATCAAGGGGCCAAAGAGATAGTGCAGTGAGGAGGCGTTGGTCTTGAACAAACTCTCCCTCAGCCATCTCTGAGCGCAGAGGGAACACGCTCACTGGTGGTCTCTGAGGGCCTCACAGAGGTCAGCATCCCCGAAGCAGAAGGGATAGCCTGTCAAAGAAGACCCCCTGGGCAGTGGACTAGCCATGGAGGGCTCACCCCAAGGGGCCATCAAGCTGAGCTGAGCACCTGACTGACTTGGAAAGCCACAACAGTCTTTATCCCGGGAACTCGGTCTCTCCCCGCCCTTTTTTAAAAAATTTTTTGGCTTTTTGGGTCATACCCAGCGATGCTCAGGGGTCACTCTGGCTCTTCACTCAGGAATCACTCCTGGCAGTGCTCAGGGGACCATATGGGATGCCAGGCATTGAACCTGGCCAGGCTTTGCTGTGCGGGCGAGACACTCTCGGTAGCTTGCCGGACTCTCCAAGAGGGACAGAGGAATCGAACTCAGGTCAGCCAAGTTGGCCACGTGCAAGGCAAATGCACTACCACTGTGCTATCGCTCCAGCCCGATTCAATAAATAAAATTATAAAGAATGAAAAAAAAAGTAAGGTGGAGTTCATGCCCAATTCAATCAGCCAAATCACTGGCTGAATAAATAGCAGTACTCCTACATAAAAATAAATAAATACATAAATACATAAATAAATAAACCACCTAGAGGGGTCCCCAGGCCTCTTCAAAGATCCCCTACTCCCTCATCCTCCCAAACAGTATGGGGCAGAGAAAGGTGGTGGGGAGTGGTCAGTCACTAGGTGTTTTGAGAATCAAAAGTTAATTTAGGTTAAATTACTATTTAAATAAATTATTTAACTGGTTCTTAGAGTAATGACCAACACATGGAGTCATCACTGCTGCTAGCACGGGAGAAATACCCTCAACCAGTTGCAGCTGGTACTGAAGAATCAGCTACCCCTTGGAAGGGCAGGAGCAATAGCACAGCACCTGGGGTAGGGCATTTGCCTTGCACGCGGCCAACCTGGGTTCGATTCCCAGCATCCAATATGGTCCCTCAAGCACCGCCAGGAGTAACCCCTGAGCATCGCCGGGTGTGACCCAAAAAGGAAAAAAAATTGGGGTGGGAGAGATAGAACAGCGGGTAGGGTGTTTGCCTTACATGTGGTTGACCTGGGTTTGATCCCCACATCCCATAGGGTCCCAGAGCATCACCAGGAGTGATCCCTGGGTGCAGAGTCAAGAATAATCCCTGAGCATTGCCGGGTATGACCCCTGAGACAAAACAAAAACTTGAAAAATAAATAGCCTTGAGTAAAAAAAAAATCCTCAGAAGCTGTACATGAG